GGAGGGAGGAAAAGAGATGGAGGGAACGACAGAGGGAAGGCAGGGCGATTTGCATTGGCGCCCGCACCTAACGAGGTGCTTTCACGAGGCGGGGGAGTGGGGTGGAGAGACGATGCGTTTCGCCTTGCACGCCTCTCCGCACTCGCCCGTAGCAAAGAGGAAAGATGGATTCCCTCTACGCCGGTAGTCGCCTGCAGTCGCCAACTCTCGCCAGTAGAGAGGTCTTCTTTTGGAAACCTTCGCCCGTGAAATCTACGCAAGGGGTACTACCAACTAAGAGGGTAATAACAATTAAATTTACATTTCAGATCACACAGAAAAGAGTACACGTACCCATTATTTTGATAACTGATATCCCATTACAAACAAAACTATGTTTGATCTGGTGCAAACTGAAATAACTACACATTATACAACTTATAATATGAAATAAGTTGATAATTTTTGTACTTAAAAACTGCGAAATAACCATAATGTATTCAATTGTTACAAACAATTATATTCTACAAATATTTTAACGTGTTACATATTATTTCCTGCGCAAAACCTTGTAATACATTAACAACAATTACCTCTAAGTTTCGGAGATTTTTCGTAACAACTAGGTGCCCGGAGGTAAGTTTTGAAAACTAGATAAAAGACAGTGTCTGAAGCCGCGTTGCCGTGGAAGCTCTGACAGTCGCACGCGTAAAAACTCTCCAGGTCCAACAGCGATCTGTATTTTAATTGCTGGTAATTACGGGCGATGTCTCATAGCTTCATCTGCTTCAATAGATGAAGCTACTATGAGACATCTGTTATATCCATTATTTGTAGCTCCCAACGTCCTCGACTTTTTACTGATGCATCAAACGTCATTAAAAGCTTTTCGAACGGAAGTTAATGCATTAATATGATTACAAACACCTAAATGAGAGAAGGGAGGAGGGAGGAGGTAGAATGGAAGGAGCCAGGAGGGAAGGAGGGAGGGAGGAGGGAAGGAGAGAGGGAGGAGAGAAGGAGGGAGGGAGGGAACACGGAGGGAGGGATGAAGAGAATGACAGAGGGAGAGCAGGGCGATTTGCGTAGGCATCCGCACCTAATGCGTATGTGCTGACATGTAAAGGGAGTGTTCACATGAACATACACACCTATGAACACTTACACATATTCATACTCTAAAGACATATCTCAAAAGCTTTATCTCATTACATTTGCCTTTCGCACCGTCAACTCTGAAACTACAATCATTCTATATTATAAATAAGCGACCTACAAACCCATTTTGATATACACTTTACCCAGACATGAATCGCCTGATTGCATACCGCGGTCAGTTTCTCTCGTCTATCCCAGATAATCCCATTTCAGTTTTAGCTACCTGACAAATCCGATTGCATGCCGATTGCCGGTGTTTCGATAGAGGAGAAGAGGATACAATGTAGTTTAGTTTCCATTTATAAGTATTTTCCCATAGATGTTCTCACATCATTGACAGAAAACCTCGAATACAGGTGGACATGATAGAATCATGGGAACAGTGTAAGTTATCTCACTCATAATTATTTTAATTCTGCATATTTTGAACGGTTACTCTTCTTTGGAGCAGCCCACTGCATACGTAAAAATCTGTTTCACTAAATTAACAATATTCAATCCATCTTATTTCCAAAACAACCTACTTTCCTTACACTTTCTATGTGCCCAGTACAAAACAATGTTAAAAAGGGTATTTTTTGCAAAGACCGATCATGGAAACACCGAAACGTGTGCAAGCCCTTCCTTGTACTCCGAGGAAAACCCGAACGAGATTCAATCAGGCTATGACTTTTCGGGGTAGCAAGTAAAAGGCGTAAGAAAAATTGAATGTTGGATTCAATTCACTTGCGTCCCAGCCTATTATAATTTCAGGAATTACAATGTTTCCACGTAATAGATCAAAATAATAAAATTAGTTACATTATTTTACAAATTTCTTACACTTCTGCTTATGATGATCCGATGTCCGATCTGATTTACAGATAATTTAGAGAAGAGGACAACCCCTGAGAACATCTACAACCTCGCAATGACTATTTTTACTTCCACGCCTTACTAGGTAGTATTGTAATGTTGCGGCAAAAATTGACAGTGTTTCGACAAACTCGTATTGTCGGGACCAACTATTGAAAAGTGGATAAATATTATACCAATATGTAGTAAATGCATGTGCAGTGCAGTGGCGTGAAGTGCAGTGGCGTTGTGAAACTGAGAGAAACGAGTGTGTAAGGAAATTAGCTCAGTGTCCTTAGTGCGGTGAAGTAAAGTGTGGTGAAGTGGAGTGCTATGAAAGATTGCACGGTGAAGGGTTCACGTTAAATTGTAAAATTTGTACATTATGCAAAGTTGTTAAGTTCTGTAATGTTAAGTTAGTGTATTCTGCCACCAAGTTCTCAAACTTAATTGCAGTATTAATAATAAAGCTAATATCTGAAAAATAGAAATTGCTTACTCTATGATGCTGTGTTGTCATAATTAACGTTATGCTTGTTCCTGATACTGAATTACCGATTGATGGTAAAACGTGTTTCCGCCCGTCCATGGTCAACACTAGAATCTGAACCGTTCAGACGATTTTCTTCAAAACTAATATTTCACGCTTGATCTTAATGGTCTCATGACCCTACGACTTTGAAACGGATATTTTGATTTTGGGGGTACATTGCATGAAGTCTAACCATTTTCAACATTTTCTCAAAAATGGCTCCAAAATGTTTCGATTAAACTTCATCTTCGGATAGCGAAAAGAATGCTTTAAAGTGTACAAACGTTAGAAATAATGCGAGAAAGTATGTGTTGTAAGTTTTTCTTAACGAATGATGCAGTGTACAGTATAAATTATAATAGTAGCGAACAGAGCGTGTGTTGAGCACAGCCTGCAATCTAGTCGAAAATGATAACGAAGAGCGCAACATGAATGGACCGAGTTCGTGTGGCGGAGTACACATGGTCACAGTATATCACTGCGTTACCGCCACAAAGATAATATAGTGAGTTTCATTGTGATTTGTTGGAGCACTAGGCAGTTTGCAACTCAGCCGAACATACGTGGTCTTCAGGACGTAATGGTAGATAATGACCTCAACTTAGTTAATATTTTAGAGGCAGCATCTCTGATCAATACTACACTGTCATAACAAACTATGTACATGAAAATAACACATAATAAGTAATAAAAGTGGACCTGTAGCAGCAAACATGATGCTGAACAAACCCACGCAAAATGATTTTCCAAAAAGCAGCATGTACAACCGTTTTCCAAAGCAGCATATAAAGTACTCTCACATCACACAAGAATATTTTTTTAACAACAAAAGTATTATGCTTATGATTGGTAGCCTCCTCCTTGGATTCTTGCTGTCGCTTCTCCTGTCAGCAGGTCTAAAGTAGAGATGCACGGGGAACGAGAATTTAGTACACATTGTATGAGAATAGGTGGAATAAATCAACTTTTGAATTCTTCAGTCAAAATCAAAACTTCCTCATTGGTTTGGGATTTACCGGAGTTCCTGGGTATCTATTGAAACTCTAAACTCTTCTCACATAGCTAGAGGGTTCCATATTCCATCAGAGATTTCCTCCAAAAAAGTAAATCTAACTTAAACGTGTTACCGCACATTCATTTTTTTAAAACTTCGCGGGAATAATAATCCCTCTACTTACACAAAATAAACCAATAAATCTAATTAAAATACCCTTGAATTATGAATTTCCATGTGCATTTCCAGCTACTTCACATTACTGACTTGGTCCGTTTCTTACTGGTTACAACGATATATTCTTCTTGTTAAACACTTCTTACTTCTGCCTTCCTCGCATTGCCCCTCCACATTTCTGACTTCCTCCGAGCTGTCTAGGCTTCCGCGGCCGGACTCAGTAGGTTCGTGGCTGTCTGGCAGACGCCGCGTCCTATGCACAAGTGCCAACATTTCGGCAGACATTCTGCGACCTTCCTCAAAACGAAACGCTGTTTCAGTCATGTAAACTGTTCCAAGCTGAAGCAGAGAAAAAAGAACTGGCATATCGCATCCTATGAAATAGAAGAAGAAGAAAAAAACTGGTCAAAACTTGCCTCCTGACCATTTCAAGTTATAAATATAGAATGTACTACTATTGTTAAATTTGATGAAGTTGGAAACATAAGTAATATGTATTAATGTAATTATTAGTATTAATGTAATTATTATTATAAGTAGTAGCATTAAAATAACATATATAAATGTTAATTATTAGCAGATAATTTATCTACTGTATAATATTTTAATCTAATTGTAACAAGTATTGTATTTCTAGGCCAATGACCAATGACTCGATCAGGTTTTGTTCAGTTTCCCTGGTCCTTTGAGCAAATGCTGAGACGGCCCCTTGTTTGCTCCTGAACAGTAATGTAACTTCGCTCTCTCCACCCAAGCCATCATATTGACTAGTCATAGACGATTGTAATTGTATATGTGACTCAATAAAAATTATTATTATTATTATTATTATTATTATTATTATTATTATTATCATCATCATTATTATTATTATTAATATTTCATCATCATCATCATCATCATAATAATAATAATAATAATAATAATAATAATAATAATAATAATAATAATAATAATATTGTTATACGCATTGCGGAATGGCGGCCGAAACGTTTGCACCTATGCCTAGGATGCGGCGTCTCCCGACAGTCAAGTAGCTACTTTCCTCCCATTCTTACAGCCACAGATCCTTCTTGACACGCACGTCTCCTTAGTCTTGCCCTCATCGCATTGCCTCTCGATTTTTCTTACTTTCTCCGTTTCTCACTGCTTACAACAGAGATCCTCCTTGTTACACTAACATCTCCTTACCCTTACCCTCATCGCATTGCCTCTCTATTTTTATTACTTTCTCCATCTCTCACTACGTACAACCACAGATCCTTCTTGTTACCCCTATCCTCGCCCTCCTGGCGCTGCCTCTCCCGTTGTCGCGAAGGCGCTGCGCGCTCGTAACATCGCGCCATGCTAATGCCCGCGTGCGCGATTGCGGCGGCGATAGAGAGCCGCGGCTGCCGCCGTCGCCCGCGTCGCGTCGCACGCCGGGCGTGTTTGATCTGCGGTCGCCGCCCGCCAAGAGATTGCGCGGGCAATATTTCCGTTGTCGCCGACTGACTAAAGAGCTTGCGGCCGAGTGACTTGCGGCGCTGTTTTTCGCCGGACCGTGAGAATCGGAAGAGACTGTTGCACACGCTGCATGGTAGTGAATGATTATCTACGCATCCAATGCGTTTACCAAGTAGGGGAAATAGAGATCTATTTCCTTGGCTCGCAGACGCTGGAGATTTCACTTGGATTATCCAGTGTCTTAGAGTCGTTTTCTGGTGCGTGAGAAACGGAGTCCGCAGCAGTCGAGATGCAGCGTTACACCAAAACAAACGAACAAGATTGTTCTTTTATGTACAGTAGTGAATCGTTTATCCTATTACGATTACCTAGAAAGGAAAATAAATTCTTGCTATCTGACATTGACGATTGAAGGTGATCGGGGTTAAAAATGTATTGCGCAACAAAACGAGCCGGACAAGCCTGAACGTACGAGCGAATTATCACAGCCTTTTGTGTGTTCTTGAATTGATTGATTGATTGACTGATGGTGATTTCGGGCGCATCAACTGCTAAGGTCATTAGTCACGTACCTGTCATGCAAGTTTTTGATGGCGGGAGGTGGCATTCACCTTCCTCTCCTGGATAGCGCAATTCGGCGCCGACCTACCGTCGTCTTGCAGGGTTTTCCCCAAACAAGGTATCTCCCACCGGAAGCACACCACTCTAGCCGGGACAAGCTCGAAACTCCCGACATGTGTGGTAGAATAAGGCACGTAAGTGTTAAGTATGTGAAAGTAAGGATCAGGATAAAACGAGGAAGAGGAAGGAAGGATCGCGCGCGGTCCGTAGCCCGTTTGTTCGGGTTTTCCTTGATGTCGACATTCCCTTGATGTTCATCGGAGAAACCAGGGAAAACTACCGATAAGAGCAGCCGGCCGACAAAAGTCTCCTCCAGACTGCGGCTGAAGTCAACCTAGTGTGTAGCTAGTGTCGAAAATCCTGCTTTCGTGGTGATTCAAACCTTGGGACCTTCCGGTCAGAGGCGCAGCAAAGACATCAATTTATGCCCTGTCTCACCTAAGTCGGTTCTTGAAATACCTTTGAAAATACGAGTACTCGTACTAGACAGCGCTACATCTCCTTCCACAATCTCAATATCGTCCAAATGTCTCATAGAATTTATTTCACTCCTCGATTTCCTATCCGAAGATGAAGTTTAATCAAAACATTTTGGAGCCATTTTTGAGAAAATGTTGAAAATGGTTAGACTTCATGCAATGTACGCCCAAAATCAAAATATCCGTTTCAAAGTCGTAAGGTCATGAGATCGTTCAGATCAATCGTGAAATATCAGTTTTGAAGAAAATCGTCTGAACGGTTCAGATTCTAGTATTGACCATGGACGGGCGGAAACACGTTTTGCCATCAATCGGTATTTCAGTATCAGTTCGTGCACATAGACATTTTTTCGTGTATAGCCTGAATTGCTTTAAAATGAATGTAGCAATACTTATTTCGGCGTTTTTATGAAGGATTCGTGAAAAACTGTCATAATCCCAATAGAAAATTTGGCAATGATGACATCTCGCATTCCATTAAAAAAAGAGTTTGGCTATCTAGTTTATTAACAACAGACACACAACGACAAACATATACACAGAGGTGGATTAAATAAGATTTATTATTAACACTAATTAATTAGAAGCAGATACGTGTTTCTTCCTTGCGCAATTTCAAAAGTTGAAATCAAGACTACGTAAATTAATAGAATTTCTATCACCAAAAAACATTTTAAGAAAATGTTACTCACCCTTCTTCACTAGGGACATCAAACTGGTCTCCCAAGTCCACCAAATCCTCGAAGATACTGAAACACAAAACGTGTGTAAATTCGAAGAAGACAATCCATTTAAGAGGTATGCAGAAAACTATCGCTCGCAATTGAAAAGTCACTCATCTAAAACTAGAAAGTATAATAATATAACACACAATAGTTTTTGAACTAATTCAGTTTGTGTCAAATCAAATGAGATTATCCAGTCCCACTTACTTTATCAATGTTGTTATGCAGCCTTGTATATGCAAACTAATTTTATGAGTTTAACAAGACTTTGATTTGGAAGTGTAGGCAAACGGAGATGTTAATTAGGAAGCTCTAAAAAAGTGAAGAGATGAGTCACAAAAAGAAAAAAAACAAACAATATTTTCTTTTAGTGTTTCTCGTTAAAAATCAAATAATAATCACTGTGAAACTAAATTTAAAATGTTTAATTTGATAATAAATTCCTTGATTACGCAGTCAACAACATGCCTGAGGTGAATCTGATCGTTGATCACCAAAAACCGTGCAGATGAGATGTTAATTTAAATATGGGGGGAAAAGGTATTACATGTATGAAATAAGCTACTCCTCGTAATTATAAATGCTGCCCCGACGGTAACCATATTACTCTTCAATAGCACTGCGCTTATACTACATTGCTGAATATATTTCTGGATATTTCAAATAATCACAAGAGTCACATGAAAGAAAAATATTCGTTGCTCCATTTTGTTAAAAATGTATCCATTTTGTTAATTCTTGGTAGGAAGATTGCAGTATGAAAATATGCAAATTGGTGGATTAAGGAGTTGAACTACACATTTTCAAGATTATAACTTTCGAAAACTCGTGGAGAAATGAGGAACAGAATTCAACAACGGAGGTGTATATTGCAACAGAAAGTTCCCGACTGGTTTGAAAAGACATGTAGTAAGAAATTCTTAGCCTTAGATAGACAACCACAACCGGGTAAGTAAACAGCGATTTAATGAAGAAATACATCACAGCAAATCTTATACGATGATGAAAAATGTCAGGTAGACACGTCGACCTTCGATTTCAGTTCTTCTCATACCGCTGGTGTGTGAATCCGGCACATAGCCACATCGAGACGGCTCTCGCTCATCGTTAGAGGATGAAAGTAACGGCCGTACGGCGAGGAATGGCACACAGCCGCGACTCCCAAGCGATTCACGTACTGCAATTTCATTGAGACGCGACACGCAAAAAAACAGCCGTTCTCGCAATTCATTCATTCCTGAAGCTAAGTGCAATCTTCGCGCGGCGAGAATGAACCTGCGGGGGAGGGGCGGTGCGGGGAGTGCGGGAGCAGGTTCTGCTGCCGGCCGGCGGTTATGGCCAGGAACGCAGCGACGCACGGTGGGTCGGTCGGCGTACAAGGCGGCCACAATTGTGTCTTTCACAAGAGTCTTATTTCACGCACGTGATTCAAGCACTTTGTTTCCGTAATCTCGCGTAGTGACTTTAAAAATGAAAAAGTACATTTTTTTAAATTGCCTAATTCACATATTGCAAGCACCGGTTTTCCACAAGGAGGCTTCCAAGAAGCAAAAACTGTTGTTGTTTTTCTTGACATTCCAATTTACATGGTTTTTTATCTCTTTTTTCAATACGGCTTCGTCGGCGGCACGGCTACGTTGTTGGGAAGGTGAAATGGCCGACAAATTCAGTTTTTCAATTTACAAGATACAAACATAATATATGCAAAGAAGAATTCCCAGAACTTAATATTCCATGCAATAAATAGTGTATATTTATTTCTATCCGGGTTCACAATCATGATTTGTAACAAGTCGAATGTCAATAAAGCCTTCCAGTTTCAGAATTCACATTTCTGACAAATTGTTAATGTTATAAATTTTCACTTTTTTCTCATCGGTGTTTTCAACCATCATGAGACCTGCACCATTATCATAAACGTTGTTCAGACTATCCAACAAAAAAATTTAATCAAAATCAAAGGGGCAAAATGTCTCAGGGGCTTTGTGTAAAGTACCTCCGAGAATTAAAATATCGGTTTCAAATTCAAGGTGTCACGACATCAGGCACATCGATTGGGGAATATTAATTTTGGAAAAAATCGATAAAACGGTTTAGCCGCTAGCGTATACCACAGACAGACGCCGGGACAGCGGACGAACAAACGTTTTGCCATCAATCGAATTTTCGGTATCAAGGACCCACAAAACAGGTGTTCTGCGCGTTAGGGGATTTTTTTTACTAAGTTTAGCAACTTCATTTATCCACCTTTTCGTTGCCAGAGCCCTATAATAAGAGTTTTTCTGCCGAAAACACGCCGTTTTTTCGCGCAGCATTACATAACTTCCTCTTCATAGGACGTTCCTTGTTAAGCTCGATAAAGTGAAAACTATGTACTACATCCCTGATTGTTTTATTTCCAACTTCCGTCACCTTCATAATTCATATTTAATTTTATGATATAGTTATATATTGCATTGTACATACATTCTTCTGAAATTAGTTGCAGGAAGCCTCGAACAGACCGAACAGAGTATTCAGACTCCAAAACTCCCTTGCACCCACAGGTAGGCTTTGACTTCGCTTGTTAGCTGATGTGGGGGATTCCCCCTTTGGCGGGATCCGAACCTATAACCTTCCGGACCACGAAGCTACTGATAAGAATTGTATTCATCATTAGGTATTGTGCGTTGCGGCAAATCCAAACCAGATTACCCTTCGTGTCACTGTCCCTGGTCTTCCTCTAGCCTCTGATACAGTTAGATCGTCATGCATCGGGTATCTTCTTCGACGCGTTTATCTCCTTGTTGGATTCAAACCTTCATCACCTCTCCAAGAAGATACGGAACCTGATTTATGAATTTAGAGGTCCCAAGAAAGACCAAACTATGGGTTATCCCACAACACTGAAATACTAAACTACGTAACCAAAATCAATAAATGAAAAGTAAGTAATTATTTAAACATTCAGTATTAAAATATTTTAACCATTAATGAAAAAATGTAAAATTTGTCAAAAATAATTTTTGGAATACCCCATCCATTGCGGCCGTAGGGCCTAGCATACTGCACTTATGCAATATCTAACCCTGAGAAGCCTCGTTTTATCCAGACAATATTTTTGTCCACTTTCTCTCCCAATCCGGGCCTTGTGTCGCGGCGGCGAGCAGCAGCGGTGGTGGTATGTGAGAAAGAGCCGGGCGTTCTCGGAAGAGGCGCGCGCAGAGGTTCCGATCGCAGAATGCCGTTATTTCGTGGCAGCTGCCAGGCCGACGCAATGAATCGCTTTGTCGCAGAGTCCGGGCTGGGGTTGCCCGCTAAGGCGTTGCGGGAGGCTATGCGACGCGAAAGCGCTGCGGTGCACGGCGGTGGCGTGGGAGCGGCCAGTTTCAAGATCTGCCTTCTCCCCAAAATGAGTAAGGAAATGGACAGCCTGTTTTGATCAGATGGTACCGAAGGGTGGATGTTCCAGTCCTCTGGTTAGGCCAAAGAAACAACACAC